CGAGGGGGAGCGCCGAGCAGCCGGCTGACAGCCGGCGCCGCCCTGCGGCTCCGCGGCGGCCCGCGGCTCCGAGGGCACAGGCACCGCACAGCCCGGTCCGCAGACCCGGAGCCCGTGGCCGCCGCCTCCTCACAAGGGGGCCCTGGGGACGCGCAGAAACGCGCCCCCACCCCTTGGCGCAGCCCGAGTGGGCCGGTCCCGGGAAAGAAGGGAACGCGGAGGCCCCTCCCGTCAACACGCGCGGACGCCCGGGCGGCGCACGCGCGCGGCGGAGGGGGCGGGGCTTGCCGCCGGCCGGCGGAGGCGATGGCGGCGCGAGCCGGCCTCGGGCCACAGGGGAGCTCACGTCGCCGGCTGCTGCCCGACGGGACCCGAGGTAAATGCCTCAGCGCCTGGGGCCGAGAGAGGCCGGGTCTCGGGTGCCGGGTCCCAGCTGAGGGGCGGACGCCGGACCACGTTCGGGACCGAGCGCCACGGGCGAGCCGAGGGCCCCAGGCCCCGCCGGGGGGTTTCTCCCCTTCGCACCCGAACCCCACTTCCGCCGACAGAGGCCCGGCTCCCCTCCCCCTATAGCCTCTGACGGCGGCCCTCCGTGACGTGCGCTCTCTGACGTCATCCTGGCGGCGCCGCCGTGACGTGCGCTCTGACGTCACCTGGCGGCGCCGCGGAGCCGGCGGGAGCGTGCGGGCGCGGCTGATCGATGAGTGTGACCGGCGGCCCGGGGCGGGCGCTGTGGCGGCAGCCGCGCTGGGGCCTCGTCCGGAGGCGGTCGGGAATGGGACCCCGGAGGAGGCCGAGGCCGCCACCCACTGCTGCGTCAGCCGCTGAGTACTAGGCGTTTTCGAGTCCGTGTTGGTGAAATTGGGGTTCTGAAAGCCCGGGGAGTTGTGAGAGTTCCCGCGGCCGAGGAGGCAGGCGTGACCGGCCTGTGTTCCGTCGGGCTCCGTCGGGGGCTGGGGGGCTGGGCTCCGCGGTGCGCGGCTCGCGGGCGCGTTCCCGCCTTCCCGCGCTGCGGTCCAGCGCTGTTACAGAAATAATCCACTTCCTCCTCCTCTTCCTTTTCCTCCTCCGGTGCACGCCCGACGGTGTGTGCGTTGTCGGTCGTGATAGCGTTGTAGGTTCGCTGTTAACTGTGGGCGCAATAAATGAGTCCAAACACAGAACCAGAATTCGCACGCCCTCTTGTTGTGTGAGAACACTTTCCTTCTTTCCTTAGCTCTCTCCTTCTTTCGTTAAAACACCCAACCAAGCACGTAATTTTTTTAAAAGACTTAAAGCAAACAGGTATTTTATTTTCGAAGTTAGAAACGAACTTGCAACATTTAGCAGGAGAAATTGACCCTGCTGGGGCCTCAATGATTCAATAAGGCAGATTATGGAAGTAAGCTATTTAGTCTAAATCTGCATTGTTTAAAATCTCATCAGCCTGTCAAAACTGCAAGGCATCCCGGGTGAACTGTGCCAAGTCCTGGTCCGTGCACGCGTGTGGGCCTCACAGCACGGCCCGGGGTCAGCAGCACACAAAAGGGTGTATTTCTGGAGTGTATTGCCAGTAGGGAAAAATAAAAACCTTTGGAGGAAATCTGATTTGGTGTGGGTGGTGGATGTTCCGAGGAAGTCTACAAGACCGGCATCTGAAGTCATCAAGGCGAATCCGTCTGCCGAAAGACAAAGTGGCAATTCAATTTGAAAATCAGCACTAAAGGGGCGCCTGGGTGGCTCAGTTGGTTGAGCGTCCAACCGCGGCTCAGGTCATGATCTCGCGGTAGGTGAGTTCAAGCCCTGTGTCGGGCTCCATGCTGACAGCTCGGAGCCTGGAGGTGCTTCGAATTCTGTGTCTCCCTCTCCCTCCGCCCCTCCCCCGCTGTTGTTCTGTCTCTCCCAAAACTAAATACAACATTAAAAAAAAATTAAAATTAGCACTAAAACATAAAAATGATTTTCACAAAAGTTTCCTGTCTATAAGATGTTCGTATACAAAGTTATAGAAGAAAAATACCATGTTGAGACCACTGTATTTTCTTCACAAATAGATACTTCTTATTAATTTCTGTGGCACTTAGGAGAAGACTGTTCAGGTTACTAACAGTATTCATTAAAGAGACACATTTCTTTAACTTGGATGCAGGTACTAGCCTCGAATATGACACTGAGCATTATTTTTACACTTAGGCGCCTGGGTGGCTCAGTCGGTTGAGTGTCCAGCTCATGATTTCATCCCACAGTTCATGAGTTCAAACCCCAGAATTGGGCTCTGTGCTGACAGCACGGAGCCTGCTTGACATTCTCCCTCTCCGTCCCTCCTCTGCTAGTGTGCTCTCACGTGCGTGCTCGCTCTCTCTCAAAATAAACTTTAAAAAAATATGTTTTTACGCTTCTCCCAACTAACTTCAAAGCACGGTCATTTTGCTGATGAAGTCTTAGGAGGATAAACAGACTGATGCTAATTTGGAAATAGGGTAACATTTCTCATTTTCTATTTTGCAAGTTAAATAACCTGAGGCTACAAAAAAATGAAATGTGAAATTGAAAAAGCAAAAGTAGAGTTGGGAATACTTAAACTGTACCTACTGGTGGGAATTTGAGGCATTATTTGGAAAAGTATCTCCAAGTGGCTTTTTAAAAACGCATCTCTATGTTGGGTACAACAATCTCAGTCCCGTTGTCGTATTTTGTTAAACTGGTCACACACCCCTTAAAGTTAGACGTTAGCAATGTTTAGCAAACCTTTCATTTGGGCTTATAGACTACAGCATTTAACCTTTTTCATGAAAGGAAACGCTTAAGTCAGAGGCACAAAGAAGCCATTTTGTCACAGGGAAACCTGGGACCCAGATGTTACTTCTTTATGGGAAAGGTGCAGTCAACCCAGCACAGTTGCCACCAGCAGTCATCCAGCTGTTTAGTATACAAAGACTAGAAAACACAGAGACACCTGGGTGGCTCAGTTAAGTGTCCAACCCTTGATATCGGCTCAGGTCATGATCTCAGAGTTGGTGAGTTCAAGCCCCAAATTGGGTTCTGTGCTGACAGTGTGGAGCCTGCCTGGGATTCTCTCTCTCTCTCTCTCTCTCTCTCTCTCTCTCTCTCTGCCCCTCCTCCACTTGTGCTCTCTCTTTCTCTCTCTCTCTCTCTCTCTCTCTCTCAAAATAAACTTAAAAAATTAGAAAACAAGTAAAAAAACAAATTATCCCAAATCCCATCCCCAGAAGCAACACTTGAAATCCTTGCACTGTCCCATCCTTAAAAAAAAGTATACCGTAGTACTCTTCTGTTGCCACTTAAAAAAGGAATTGTACCTCCTTGTCAATAAATAATAGATCTGCATTATTTGATGGATACACCATACTGTTTTTTTAAATAAAATTTTTAATGTTTACTTGTTTTTGAGAGAGAGAGTACAAGCAGGGGAGGGGCAGACGAGACACAGAGTCTGAAGCAGGCTCCAGGCTCTGAGCTCTCAGCACAGACCCTGATGTGGGACTCAGACTCACAAATCACAATATGACCTGATCCAAAGGCAGACACTTAACCAACTGAGCCACCCAGGCGCCCTAACCATACTCTGTATTTTAGTGTACTTGAATTTAATCAATTCTGTATTGTGCTTTGTTTCCAATTTAACAATTACAGTGCTCCAATGAAGCAGTCATCTTAAAACATGCATGCGTGTGTAATGTACTATATACAGTTCCATGCTCTTAAGTCAGAAACTGTGGTCCAGACCTGTTCCCCATCTCTCTGAGCACAGTGCCTCGCACACAGTGGGTGTATTAGTCAAGAGGACTTAGGTCAGTTGTTCTCGACTATGGGCAGTTTTGCCCCCCAGGGGGCACTTAGCAACATCTGGAGACATTTTTGATTGTCATGACTAGAGGTCGGGTACTAGTGGTATCCTGTGGGTAGAGGCCAGGGAGCTGCTAAACATCTCAGAATGCAGAGGACAGCCCCGCAACAGAGGATAAACCGTGCAAAATGTCAGCAGCACTGCTGTAGAGAAATACAGTTTAAGATGATGTAGCAAATCACATTCCACCGGACTAAGACCTTGAAATTTTCTTGCACACAACTTGGTGGCTTGCTCAAACAGCTTTCTTCCAGATGGGCACCCAGGGCCTCTGTCATCATGTGGCTTTGCTGTCTGAGAGCCATTTCCTTTTAGCTATACACACCGGGAGAAAGCACGGAGAACATCACGCAGGAGGTTTTATGGCCAGGCCTGGAAAGAGCAGCATACTTCTGCATCCAACTACTTCCATTGGCCAAAACCTAGTCTTGTGACCCCAATCTAAACTGCAAGGGAGGCTGGGAAATGTTGTCTTCTATGCATCCAGGAAAAGGAAATGGGATTGTTGGCATCTTGCCAACTTCTACCATTTTTAGTTTAAAAAAAAAAGTCTACAAATTAAGATTAAGGAAGGTGATACAACATCAAACAGGGGCGGCTGGATGGCTCCGTTGGTTAAGTTTACGACTCGATTTTGGCTCAGGTCACGATCTCACAGGTTCATGAGTTCAAGCCCTGCGTTGGGCTCTGTGCTGATGGTGTGAAGCCTGCGTGGGATTCTCTCTCTCTCTCCACCCCTCCCAACTTGAGTGAGTGCTCTCTTGCTCTCTCTCTCGCTCTTTCTCTCTCTCTCAAAATAAACTTTAAAAAAAAGCAGAAATTGTTAGATATTTAAAAAAAAACATGTTTGCACATAGCTACTCAATAGGTATTTGTTGAATAGGGTTCTTGACTATGGAAAGGATGAATAGTGTTCTTTTAAAAAAGCAATCAGGTATTTGTTGAAGGCCTTCGCGGACACGCTGGGTGTCTTGTGTCATCTTACGCCCACCCTCAGATCTACGTTCCACCCTTCAACTCGTTCTCGGTCCCAGGACGCCGACCTGACTGGACTGTATAGTCTCCCTCGTCCTCTGCCCCTCCAGGTGACCTCAGTGAACAGGGAAACCCAACAGAGTTGAGGGGAGGGAAGGCAGAAGACTAGGCCATTTATTTTCCAAGTTCCGCGTCAGGTTGACTTGAGCTCGCAAAGGAACCTGTTCTGTACAATTCTCTCCTTCCGGGTTCTGGCCACCTGGCCTTCTCCTCATCCCTTTGGGCCTAGGCTCTTGCATTATCCATCTATCCTGCCTGCACCTTCGTGAGTAGTGCCCTTACAAACTAACTTTCCCAGATAGTCCTAATTTGGGTGTGCGCCTTGAGTTGCAACCCTGGCTGATACAACAGACAGGAAAACCTGATGGGGACGTTGCAAATTGTTTTCCTTCAAATAAGAGATTACATCTGCCCTAAAAAACCTGAAGATATTTGGGATACACGAGCCTGGCACTAGTGGAATTAAGGGTAAATGCAGCAGAGATTTAGGGAAG